AGAAGCACACAGGTTTGTTGGGAGTGGAGAGGGTTAAGAAAATGATACCTGTCTACCATATGTATGCAGATATATTTTGGTGCATAGGTGTTAGGGGAAGTTAAAAAAAAGTCTATGTTAAGTGAAAGACTTCCTTTTGAAATATGTTAATAAAGTACCTTCATTTCAGATGGTATTTTGTTTGACAAGGAATCCATCCTGGAATATATTATTAGCAAGAAGAATGAGATAAACCGTAAGATAAAGGAATATGAAAAGCAGTGCAAGAAGGAGCAGGTAAGCAGCTTTTTAGTTATTACAGACAATTTTTATTTTTGTATTTTCTCAGTATCATAATGGTTCCTCCTTCAGCTGCTCTATGTCAGGGGTCTCTCGAGTGAATCATCGATCTCTGTCTCACTCTCTCCTCTGCAGCTCTAGGCCTCCTTCACAAAATCCACATACCTCCTCTTTAGACTGCCTCTTCTCCTGATATACTCCTCTTGCCTCTCTCTCTTCATGTCTCTAAATCGTCCTACTTGTCCCTTATGTATCATACTCATTCCTAATCCATCCTTGGCACTCCCAGTCAAAATCACAGTATCAAACTCTGCCTATTCAAGTTCTGCCTCCAAGCCATACAGAATAGCTGATGGTACTACCATTTTGTAAATTCACACAACTCCTTTAAAAAAGGTTTATTTCTATTGCAATGTTTATTGTTACTAATGTTTTCATTAGGATTATTATCATCATTTCTTAAATATTTTTAATATTTTTAATAGCAATAACAATTGAACTTTTCCTCACAAAAATTTATGGGACGTGGTAAAATGTGACTGATTTGTGACTAAATGTTTTTGGATCCATGTGTTTGTACACAAAATTAATGAAACACACCTGCCTTCAGTGGGTTGAAATATTTTACCCAGCAGGTACCTCCTTTCAATACTTCTCCAGTAGTTACACATTTGTCCAACCCACCTTCAACATCACCCTATATTAGTCTTGGGAAAAATGATTTTTATTAATGCTATTAATTTTGATGTTGTTATGATTATTATTATTAACATAGGATTATTATAATGTTACTAACAATACTAATAGCATTAAAGAATAATGAAAAATCTTTAAGAAATTAAAGGAAAGGGGTGAACAGGTGAAGTATGTTGGACTAATAAAGGACTCCTTGGTGAGTAAGCACTTGTGGAGCCATTTTTGTGTAAAGACCATTAATAAACAAAATTGCAGGGTTGGCATACATATATTTACCACGTTAACAAAAATTGGAGGAGATATGGCATACATTTTTACCACTCCAACGTCATTAGGTTAACTTTCATTAAAGGTATGAAGATGTATTTTCAAAATCTTTTAGAGACATCTGTGATTTGTATAATAGGCATAATCAGAACAGACGCTGAATTGGGATCATTTGCAGGCAGAGATCGAGGAGATAGGAGAGGCAGAGCACCGATCCCGCATCGAAAAGTTCTTGAAGACAGAGGGAGCTGTAGCGTCTGCTTCCCAGGCTGCCCAGGGTGAGTTAAAGGATTCCGTTGTAAACCCTCTTTTGATTTGTAAGTTGGTATTATTTGTTATCCTGGGTCAATAAAAGGCTCACTTATATTATAGTTTTTGTTCTTGGTGTTGTTGTTACTGTTGGTATATTATTATTATTATTTTTAATTATTATCATTATTAATAATTTTTCTAAATTGTTATTGTTATTATTTTTCATCATCATCACCATCACCATCATCACCATAACCATCCCCATCATCATCATCATTATTACCATTATTAATATACTGTTATTAATTCTTGTATTGTTATTGTCATATTAATAATGATTAATGATGGTGATGAGGATGAGAAATGACAAAGGGAAATAATGAAAAAAACAGAAATCTGTTAAGGAAACCGTTCTAATTTTAGCTGTTAAGAGATTATGCAGTACATTTTCCATGTTAGTGAAGGGTATTGCAAGACAGAGAGTAGCAGAATTACTTTGGAACTCAAAATAAAACAGGTTGAAAGGTAGACAGATGACTGAATGAAGGTAGAAGTTAACTGTACTGCATTTTTCAGGGTCCAGCTCAAGGGATACTAAGAATGCTGCTTCAGTGTCCAACATGGCTGCTGGGAAAGACAAGAAACTGCCGAGCTTTTGGATCCCTTCTCTGACACCTTCCAGCAAGGAAACGAAACTGCAGAAGCCTGTAAGTGTGTTGCAGTAATTGTCTACTTTCTTTCCCTGACAATCATTACTTCTAGTGTGTGTGGAGTATTGTTTTCTTTATACTTTCATTTTGTCTTTCTCGTTGGTTCTGTTATATATTATGTATTTCTGACAAAGGTGTATTGAAAACCGGTTAAATACATCTCTTGTATTTTGAAGATATTCATTCTCATTCATAGTTTTCTACATTTGTCAACATGAATATGGTTCATTTAAGATATATCTTAACAGGGTAATAACCCATCCATTCATGTTACACAACAATATGGTTGCAGGAATATATTTGGACAACAGTACGTGCATATAATACATACACTTACAAATTTCATAAATTCCATTACTATATAGTGTGCAGAACAGAGCAGTCTCCACTTTGAATGACACATTGCTTCAACTTACAGGGTTTATATGTTACCACTTCCCCCAATTCTAGGAATGGTTGGGGGCATAACCCCTTCAGTCCAGTTGCTTCATGCAATCACATGGACCAAAATATGGGCATTAGGCTGCTCTGCTGGGTGTGCGGCATGTAGGCCAGGCCATCACAAAGACTTGTGGGCTGTGACAAGACTGTGCCTCCTCTTTGCAATGCTATTTTGCCTAATGGATGACTAGCCATATTCAAAACTCTCTTGTTCTTCCAGTTATGCTCACAGACATTACATTCCTCTCTCATTTATCGATGGGAATAATACAAAAGCCTCCTTCTAAATGCGAAATGAGTCTAATCACCACCCAAGAAGTTTGTGCACTTGTGATGAGTCTTTGTTTTCACCACAGCCTTCAGCTGAAATTCTCACAACAGCAAGTTCTCATCACTTGGGCCCACAGCTAGATTTTCCAAGAACAGTATGTTCATGTCACCCACCCCTCAAGCTAAATTTTTTCATGATGTGATGGTCACGTCATCTGGATTGAAGGGTTTAAATATGTGGTAAAGATTTTCACAGAGGCAGGGGATGGAGTACTTTATTACAAGGACAGGGACTTTGATAATCTCTGCAAATAATAAAGTATGCTGTACTCTGATTTATCTCAGGAAAAAAAAGAGATACAGTAAAAAAACATAAAGAGGTGGGGAATAACTTGATGGGTTAATGAGATTAATTCAGGTATATTATATTAGCAAGATAAGAAACAGTACTATATTATTATTTTTTATTACTATAATTAAGTATATATGGCACCTTTCAGGACAAGACAGTCTTTTGTCCCATAAGTGGGAAGCCTTTGAAAGTAAAGGACCTTGTTGATGTCAATTTCACACTCGCCGATCCAGAAGACAAAGGTCTCCTTGATGGCCGAAGGGACAGATACAAGTGCCCAGTCACAGGAGACATCCTGAGGAACAACATCACATGTGCTGTTCTTAGACCCACGTAAGGAGCTTTTTATATATTTCTTTTCTGCTGAGAGAGTTCACAGGAAGTATCTGCTTTCATTTGTGTTTGATCATTGTTATGGTATTTAATTAAAGGAAGTTTGTGTGATTGATATGATTTCAATCTTCACTGCTATGATGTTATTACTTTTCTTCCAGTACTTTGTACCAAGAGATGTTATTTTAAAGTTTTTATCTTGATATACCATTCTGCTCCAAGCTGATATCTTAAAACTAGTTAAAGAGTTAATAAAATGTGTTGTGGATGTTTTACAGAGGTCATGTGGTTACATTGGATTGTGTGGAGAAATTAGTGAAGAAGGATATGCTGCATCCAATTACAGGAGCAAAGCTCACAGACAAGGACATCATTGTTTTGCAGAGGGTTAGTAGCAAGATTTATATGTTGACATGATTATCATTCTGAATAGTGATGTTTTTTTAAAGGCTCAGCTTTGTATTTTGTGTGCTGAAAATATTTAAATTTCATACTTTCTTTACAGGGAGGAACAGGCTTCTCAGCTGCTAATGAACAATTGTCAAGTGTGAAAGCCAGACCGGTGTTGCAAGCTTAATCGGGAAATGAGAATGTCTTTAATGTTGTAAAGTTTGTATTTCCTTTTTATGAGATAGTGATGATTGGTTGAAGTCAGTAACTTGTAAAAAATATAGCCTTTTATATTGTATTTCAACATTTTGCTGTTTTTCTCTCTTTTCTTTTCTCTTTCTTTTCAATTTCTCGTATTTTTGAAAGATGCATTATTTTTAATTATTTCACAGGATAGGAATGCAAAGATTTTAAACATAGGTGGTTACTGGTAGTTTTCCATAAGTTATTGTACACTAAACTTTAATGCAGAATTATTGTGTTCTTTACCTTGAAATGAATATTTATCCTTATAATTTGAAATTCTGGCAACTGCATTGCAATGGCCCCTTCTTGTACATGGCTGTAGTAGAATGGTTCAAAGTAAAGTTTCATAGTAAATATACAACAAACCCTACCTTAAACCTCAAACCTAAATTTGAGACAACAAAATCCATGTTATGTATAGTCAGTGGTAATTTTGATGTAGAAAAGTAACAGCATATCTATCAGTGACTGATATATGAATTAACTTAGTGTGCTATTCTGAAGAGCTTTTGGACTTTTTATACATCATTTACTGTCAGGAGTCTGATTTTTTTTACCATGACCATTAAGGAAGATTCTAGACTAGAAATTATAATAAACAAATTTGTATCGGACCCTGTAGTCATAATGTGATAATTACTGTTTGAGGTGTTTTGACTTTCATAGCATGGAAAACCTTTAGATTTACAAAATGTTAAATATATTTTAGGACAAAAATAGTATGGTTTAAAGTAACTTTGAAAATAAAGAGCAATTTACTCATTTGTTTATTTGTGATTTTTCTTTATTTCCCTTTTTTCTTTTAAATGATTAAGCATTCTTATTTCTGTGTATGAACAACGAACAAATTCTCTGCAATTCTGAGAAACCAAAAGTACATAGTTTTGTGGTAAATATTCTCATAACAGTTTAGGTTCAATATTTTTAGAAGATTCAGCGATTATTTTGATTTTACAGTGTTGGGACTGTTGCATAAAATCCTTACACTTTAATTACCAGGTACTCTGATGCTAATGACTGAAAGTGTCAGGGAAAGTGTTAAGAAAAGAGAGTTATGTTATACCCTTAGGTACATAATGCAGAAGTTTCATTAAAGCATTATTACATTTGAATTAAAAGTAGTTGATCTAGTAATTAATTTATATTGTTACAGATTTGTTTGGCTCTTTGTAAATGGAATAGTGGGATTAGAATTTTAGATTTTGAATTTGTAGGCATTCTTTTAAGTCACGATGGGTTGTAGAACCGAATTAGATTGGAATAGATTCATCTATGAGGAACCAGAAACTGCCGAATTGGTCCAAACTGTGTCAGAGAAATAGAACGCGAGAGAGCCCCCTGTTGAGAGACGACCAAACCTGTGGCAAGAGCAGCTAGGAATACTACTTTGTGAAGAGTACTGATGTGGTGAGAGTAGATCCAAAACCTGTAGAGACCATGAAGGAATCATATTACAGTTTGGAGGTCACTGTTGGGAAAATGGTCTACAAAGCAATTCCATGAATCTTCCATCATTTTTGTATTCCAAAAGTATATCTAAGTGGATCTGTGATTACTGCTATATGGCATGAACTAGTAGGTGGTAAAAGTGACAGTGAATAGAATAAATAGGAGGCAAACTGAATGAAAATATTTTGAGATATAGATGTAGGTCTGGTGTCTCTGATGAATTTTTGGAATTTTAACCATTCGGATTGATGTTGTATAACAGTAGAAGGACGATGTTCTTTAACAAGGTTCTATAATTGTAGAGGTTATAATACTGCATGTAGAAACTCCCCTCGTGTAGATGCAAGCATTTTGTGAGATGGTCCATCAGAGTTCCCTGAAGCACCGTCCCTGACAGAGATAGAGGATGAAGACACTAGTGAAAGAGATCCCGTGTCCATGGTTGTGCTTCCCACAGTGGGGCAATCAACAAAACTTTGCCTTTGTATGTCCTCAAGCGATTAATTACCTGCAGCCTTATTGTTAAAGGAGGGGGAACAGGTATATTGACTGTCATCTGTTCCAGTCTTTCAGAAAAGCATCTGGATCCCCTTCTGCTGTCACCTGTTCTTGTCAAAAATCTCTTGATTCTGTGATTGGATCGAGATGCAAAAAGATCTATCTGGGGATGGCCATACATTTGTGCTAGTTTCAGAAACACTTCGCAGTCCAGAGCCCACTCTACTGAGGGTGTGGTCTGACGTCATAAAGCATCTGCCCACTGATTTTTTCTCCCTTTGAGGTGAGACGCAGCATATACTTCATATTGGTTGAAGTAGATGCTGCCTCACAATACGAAACAGAATCTCTGATGCTCCTAGGAGTGTCTTCGAGCAGGAAGAGCCTTGTTTGTTTATACAAAAGACAGTGGCAACATTGTCCGACAGAACTTGAATTGACATATCTTGGAGAGGTTTCCATACGCAGTGCCTTGATAATCACTTACAGTTCTCTTACACTGATGTCTTATTCTCACTGATTTTTTTCAAAGTCCCGAGTCCCGATCTTTGGTGTCCCACTGATGACTGGTAGCCCCATCCCCAGTCCGATACATTTGTCGTTAGGGTTAATGAAGGAGTTTTGGGAACCCAAGGAGAGACAGACATTAAACGACTCTTCCTTAGCCACCAATGTAGGCGAGTGCGGATGGAACGAGGAAAAAGTACCAATTTGTCTCTATAGTCTGAAGTGAACACTGCACGCCCCGAGTTGTAGATGCCTTGGCCGAATTCTTCCTAAATGAATTACTTCTGCTGCATGATTTAATGACCCCTTAAGACTTTCCCATTCGTGACAGATATTGGTTTACACAAGATTTCTGAACAATTTCTTCCAGCACTCTTTTTTTCTAAATCATTGCACCCTTCTTTTATGTCCCATTGGAGCCCAAGCCATTATAACATTATTGGTTCGAGGTGGGATTTCTGTAGATAGAAAAGTAAGCTCATCGATGCACCCATCTGTAGTGTGACTTAACACCCTTTTGCTTTCTTCTGGCTGTCCAATTATGAGCCAATTGTCGAGATACGTTAAAAACTTGAGCTTCTCGTTGTACAAGTTTGCTTCCCACAATATTGGGAATACCCACGTAGCTATGTTGTCCAAATGGAAGGACGCAAAACTGACTAGTTTTTTTCCCTATTGACACTCCTAGGAATGACTAGGAATCTTAACTTCCACTGATTGTGGCATCTCTCTAATCAGGAATGGAATCATCTGTTCATCTCAATGAGGTATTCAATAAAGTGCTGTTAGATCTGATTTTACTGTCATCAAATTCTTAAGAATTGTGTTTTCATGTAGTCCTAATCTTTTTACCACCGTCTGTTCTAGATACGAATTTACAAGTGGAATACTTAAAGTACCAAGATTTGACACTTTTGAAGCCTTCTGTAGAAATAAACTAGGATCAAAACTAGGATTCTAGAGTTGCTTTTGCTGAGAAACTGAAGTTCAGCGAGTATAGGCATTACTGATAATGTACTCCAGGACTGTTGAGCAGTAAAACGACTGTCTGATCCGCCATTATGAATCTGTTGTCAGGAATTATTAGTCGTGGAGAAAAATCCTTACGAATTTTTGGCTCAGATAGGAACAGGGAAAATAACATTTACTTAGAGTTCTGAGGCCATTGTGGATCACACATAGTTGGCACAGGTTCTGCTGAACTAGCGTTAACAGTACTTTTGTGTGCAGCGCGAACAAGCCACCAATTCCGTAGTTCCTCCACAGGCATTAAAAAGGAAATCTGTGGAGCCATCATCTGAAGCACTGCGTGGCGAGTCCGATTAGACTCGAAACGGACTAATGAAGATTCAGCTGATGGTACTATTAATGAAACAATGGCTGACAATGCTTGTGTCATATCAGCTGCAGTTGAAGCACGCCGAACAGATAAATTTTCTGGTAATAATTTCAAAACATTGTTCCCAAGTTCTCGAATGTCCTAGCTCCCACATAGTCAACAGGAACGAGATCTTCCTGACCTCGTGATATTTTGTCATAAAAAAACTAATTCTCCAGCACTTTTATGCTCTACTTGACCATGTGCTGGAATCTGCATCCAACCTCTCCTAGTGTGTTAATGGGGCTCTTCTACAACACTACTAATTCCTAGTGCTGTATCATGTCTACCCCTAGGAGACATCATAGATATTCTTGTTACCTGATGGCTGAATAGACGAAGAGATTTTTTCAGGTTCTTTGTTTTGACATTTATCATGCGTCTGTGTTTGTAAATTAGAAGATAGAATTCTCTTTTGAGGAGGTGAGTATTCATAGGAATGATCAAGGAATTATTATTTGATGATATGGGACTACAATTGAAAACGATCTTTGTGGTGATTTAGGAAAAGGGCTACATGGTGGCTGCTTTGGACTTTCTTGCGATTTAGGTGAAATGTCAATCATTTCAGCAAGTAGCTTAATTATTCTGGATTGCCCTTTGTCTTGAGATGACCGCTTTCCATGAAGATAAAGGGTCTTTATAGATGATTTACCAGAAGTTTAGGGTTGAACTGGAATTGGTGAAGGAGATACAGACGATCCCGAGGAAAGCCCGGACCATTTTCTGACCACGTGAGGCAGAGGCCGTGTACAGTTTCTAAAGTTCTGAAGATGTCCAAGGAAGAACAGATCCAGACTCTCTTGTCTTCCTAGCTGCTCTCAAATATTGTTTCTTTATTAGTTTCCAATCTTTCGATGGTGGGTCATCTGGGTGTTGCATTTGTACTCTCTGCAACCATTTTAGGCAAGTTGCGCATGTCGAGGATCAAAACCACACGAAGAAGCACACGCAGCATGTCTAGGGCGTTGTACATGTGCTGCAGATCTGATATATTTGTAGGATTTAACACTGCAGACTGGAGCAATTACATGAATGCTTGCAGTTGTCATCTATAAAAACAAATCTGCATATCTTAAACAATATTTGAAATTATTTTAATCTGTCTTTGTTATCATGAAGAGAAATGTGTTGTGTGCATAATTTTCACTATTTATATACAAATATATACTTTTTTTTTTTTTTTTTTTTTTTTTTTTGCCGAATTGCCGACAGGAAAGTCCCGAGCGCATCGTATACTTAGATAAATCTGATAAAAAAGCCATTATCCATGGAATCAACACTAACTTAAAAACAAACGAACCAGTCCTGACGACCCGGAAAGAGGACATGATATGAACCCATTAAATAGAATATCATGCATGTTTACGTTCTGAGGTCACAGCGCTACAAGTGGTTCGTGGCGGTCGAACCTCCATGAGCATTGGCACCACGAAAAAAAGAAAAAAAAAAATATCAGGTGAAGTTTTCCTTTTCGGAGAGATTATGGTTCCTTAGTTTAAATGGAAAACGCTATACCACTCTCTTCACAGAAATCGCCTTGGGTCAGTTACTTGAGTATGGGCACACCACGAAGCCATTCGGCCATGGAAGAAAACCGGTATCTTGCAGCATGCTGACGAACCGCAAGAGGCCGAGGAATGAGTCCATGTTTTGAGGTTTTCTAAGACCAATAACGTCCAAGGAATGAATTATTAAAACAAAACATTCCGGCCGCCAGTGTTTCGAATGCGTAAGGACTGGGAGGGTTGGGGTGAATGGGCAATTGATGGTTGGGGATTGTGATCACTAGTTGGAAAAAAGGTATTCGCAAGTCACTATTCCTTATAATATACCATGCAAACATTAAAAGTTCAGAATAAACACTTTTACATTACATTTTCGTAAACATTATCTCCTGTTAAAGTAACTATGATATCAAGTCAAAATTAG